CATCCCTCGACTTCGGCTCGTGAGGCGGATGGCGCGCCGACTCGTTTGAGGTGCCGTCCGCTCTCCTTCACGGGAAGTCGAACGAAGCCGGGGTCCCCTCTGCTGCTGGGCAGGCGGGTGAGGGAGTCCGCGCCTGAGGAGCACCACCGGTGTCTGGCACCGCGCTCAGTTCACGTGAGAGATTTCGTCGCAGACAGGAAGGCGAGCCGACCGCCACAGCAACGGGAGTGATTGCTGCATGGTTGTATTCTCACAGTGCGTGTTTTCATAGCCACATTGTTGGCACGCGCCGCTGTGAGACCGCCGGACCCCCGGTTCTATTCGCAGCTACGAGCGAGATATGAACTCAGCCCTGTGGTGGTGCAACATGCTCTGGCACGTGTTGTGACCCGTACCGCGTAGATATGAGCCGTGTCCGTTCAATGCTCGCCGAGCTGCATTGGCTTCCGGTTGCACTCATTGCACGCAAAGCGCTCGCCACAAATGGTCCACAATACCTTGGCGATCTCGTCAAGGAGTATTTGTAAAGAGGCATTATCACACAACGGAATAGCAGCAGCAGCCTCTGTGTCTCTGTGCGGCTGGCATAACGCGCCAGGATGGCTAGGAGATGTTAACTCCCTCGCCTGGTGCGCAGGAGGTCGTGGGCTCGATCCCGACCCTGACGCCTGCTGTGTATTTGGAGTTCGCGAGTTCTCTCTCCCCGTGGCCGCGTTGATTTTTCTCCAGACCCTCCGGTTTTCCCCCCTCCACATTTAGAATCAACGTCACGCCTTTAGAGCATTTGGCTGCTGTACATTTCCACGCGATAAGCCACTTCGTTGAGCTATCATTTGTGGCCAGGTCGCTTCTGAAAAGAGCTACATAGCTCAGTGGGCTTTGCCTTCTATAATGTTTTTGTTTTCATTTAAATGGAAGGGCCGTTCCATGCGAACTCTAGAGAGGGCCCCCTAAGACCATTTGCCCGCCTCTTATACGCAGGCCAGACGGCTTGGACGAGGTGGGAGCGCTCGCTCTTCACCTCACCACACGCGGACCTGCCACTAAACTAACCGTAGCGCGACCCACGTGCACCCACACTGCCGCGTGGACAGAGTCCGCGTGGGGATTTAGAATCTTGCCGCGGCGGGAGATGGGACTGGCGATCTCTCTCGGACCGCTTGTGCGGCGTGCCGCTGACCGCTCGTGACACCGCTACCGTGGCAGCCTCGCGATTCCAATAGAGGCCACGGCAAGCTTACTCTTCTCGCGTTGTGTAAATATTTATTATGCAGTCGTTTCCCCTACTTTGTAGCGCGGCTGCTGTAAACCCGGCGACTGATTTAGCATCAGCCCCAACATCGTCAAGTTTCGGAGAGGGTTCACGCTGGGCCAGAACATGCCCAAATGATATCCTCAGAACGCCCGTGTGGTTTTTTTCTGCAGCCGAAGACTCCCCCTGTATAGCCTTAAGAGACTTTTGGGGCAAGTGCTGTTAGGCGAGCACACGTGAAGGCCGGCACGGCACAGAAGGGGTGGGTGGACAGCACCACGCCCAGCCGCCTTTGTCTCCCAGTGGCGATGTTTACGCACCGCACCGGTTACTCATTTCAGGACCGCTTCTGAGATCACCCATGTGGACTGTGAGTGGGTTTCCAACTCGGGTCGCCGGGTTCGTAGGGCTGTGCGCTAACCGCTGCGCTGCTGCTCCCCGTCAGAAAGCAACACACACGCACACACGCGTGCAACAACGAGAGGAAGTTCAAGTTTCCCTTCTAAAGTTTTGATTGTTTCGAGTTTCGATTCGTGGAAACATTTCCCAAAAGTCTCGGCTCACCCGCCGAGTGTCACGAATGGCCGACGTAAATGAGAACGTTCACCAGTCCGTGGGAATGGTGGTCACGTGGGAGTGGTGGTCACGTGAGAGTGGTGGTCACGTGGGAGTGGTGGTCACGTGGGAGTGGTGGTCACGTGAGAGTGGTGGTCACGTGGGAGTGGTGGTCACGTGGGAGTGGTGGTCTCGTGGGAGTGGTGGTCACGTGGGAGTGGTGGTCACGTGGGAATGGTGGTCACGTGGGAGTGGTGGTCACGTGGGAGTGGTGGTCTCGTGAGAATGGTGGTCACGTGGGAGTGGTGGTCTCGTGGGAATGGTGGTCACGTGGGAGTGGTGGTCTCGTGGGAGTGGTGGTCACGTGGGAGTGGTGGTCTCGTGAGAATGGTGGTCACGTGGGAGTGGTGGTCTCGTGAGAATGGTGGTCACGTGGGAGTGGTGGTCACGTGGGAATGGTGGTCACGTGGGAGTGGTGGTCTCGTGGGAGTGGTGGTCACGTGGGAGTGGTGGTCTCGTGGGAGTGGTGGTCACGTGGGAGTGGTGGTCCAGTGGGAGTTGTGGTCACGTGGGAGTGGTGGTCTCGTGGGAGTGGTGGTCACGTGGGAGTGGTGGTCTCGTGGGAGTGGTGGTCACGTGGGAATGGTGGTCTCGTGGGAGTGGTGGTCACGTGGGAATGGTGGTCTCGTGGGAGTGGTGGTCACGTGGGAGTGGTGGTCTCGTGGGAGTGGTGGTCACGTGGGAGTGGTGGTCTCGTGGGAGTGGTGGTCACGTGGGAATGGTAGTCTCGTGGGAGTGGTGGTCACGTGGGAGTGGTGGTCTCGTGGGAATCGTGGTCACGTGGGAGTGGTGGTCACGTGGGAATGGTGGTCACGTGGGAGTGGTGGTCACGTGGGAGTGGTGGTCTCGTGGGAGTGGTGGTCACGTGGGAATCGTGGTCACGTGGGAGTGGTGGTCACGTGGGAATCGTGGTCTCGTGGGAGTGGTGGTCACGTGGGAGTGGTGGTCTCGTGGGAGTGGTGGTCACGTGGGAGTGGTGGTCACGTGGGAATGGTGGTCTCGTTGGAGTGGTGGTCACGTGGGAGTGGTGGTCTCGTGAGAATGGTGGTCACATGGGAGTGGTGGTCTCGTGAGAATGGTGGTCACGTGGGAGTGGTGGTCACGTGGGAGTGGTGGTCTCGTGGGAGTGGTGGTCACGTGGGAGTGGTGGTCTCGTGAGAATGGTGGTCACGTGGGAGTGGTGGTCTCGTGAGAATGGTGGTCACGTGGGAGTGGTGGTCACGTGGGAGTGGTGGTCTCGTGGGAGTGGTGGTCACGTGGGAGTGGTGGTCTCGTGAGAATGGTGGTCACGTGGGAGTGGTGGTCTCGTGGGAATGGTGGTCACGTGGGAATGATGGCCACGTGGGAGTGGTGGTCTCGTGGGAATGGTGGTCACGTGGGAGTGGTGGTCTTGTGGGAGTGGTGGTCACGTGGGAGTGGTGGTCACGTGGGAATGTTGGTCTCGTGGGAGTGGTGGTCACGTGGTGGTCTCGTGGGAGTGGTGGTCTCGTGGGAGTGGTGTTCACGTGGGAGTGGTGGTCACGTGGGAGTGGTGGTCACGTGGTGGTCTCGTGGGAGTGGTGGTCTCGTGGGAGTGGTGTTCACGTGGGAGTGGTGGTCACGTGGGAGTGGTGGTCACGTGGTGGTCTCGGGCGGTGCTGAAGCAAGCCCGAGGAGAATGCGCAAGGCAAGGAAGCCGTCTCGCTGTATCTCCATGGCCACCCACGATGTCCGTGAGGAGATTCTCGGAACTCGGGAAGACAATTCCTGGAAGAGTTCCATCTGTGTGGGAGGACCTGCGCTTAGTCGCGGGCAGGGCATCAGCGGTTGATGGTGAGGGAGGTGTGAGCGGTGAGGTGGGGTGAGGGAGGGGTTGGATGAGAGTGAGGGGTGGGGTGAGGGAGGAAGAGGCGAGGGAGGGGTGCGGTGAGGGAGAGGTGGACGGAGGGGTAGGGTGAAGGAAGGGTGGGGTGGGGGAGGGGTTGGGTGAGGGTGGGTGAGGGAGGGGTGTGGTGAGGAATGGAGGGGTAGGGTGAGGGAGGGGTGAGGGATGGGTGAGGGCACAATTAGGACGATTGCCCTCACACTTGGGACCCCCCTAGATCCATATCTATGGGACCCCCTCGTGGTAGATGACCCCTGGTGGTAGATGACCACTGGTGATAGATTACCTCCCGTGGTAGATGACCCCTCGTGGTAGATGACCCCTCGTGGTAGATGACCCCTGGTGGTAGATGACCCCCCGTGGTAGATGACCCCCCGTGGTAGATGACCCCCGTGGTAGATGACCCCTGGTGGTAGATGACCCCTGGTGGTAGATGACCCCCCGTGGTAGATGACTCCTGGTGGTAGATGACCCCTGGTGGTAGATGACGCCTGGTGGTAGATGACCTCTCGTGCACCGCAGGGCGACTCGGCACCTGATCTGCTCGTTGCCCGGCTTGGCCTGCGACGTTTCACAGGCCTACTGCGGGCGTTGTGCGCCGTGTTGCTCACAAGGCCCACAGGTAAATACAAACACAGGCTGCGTCCAGCACGTGTCTGCACGCCAGCTGTGCGTATTACTACTGCAGCTAATGGCTCGTGAAGGAGTTGCATATTCCCCCCATCCCCCCAAAACAAATGCTTTCATGGAGCAGTGAAGAAGAGGGAAAGGCGTAAACATCTGACTTGAGTGGGGTAGACATTTTAGAAGCGACATTTTGTATGTACGTGGCCATGACTAACATGTATGTATGTTGAACTTCATGTATGTATGTTGAACTTCATGTATGTATGTATGTTGAACTTCTTTCGCACCGCACGTAGCTAACCGTGCTAATTGGAGGTTGGGGTTTGAGTTGTTGCTTGGCTTGGTTTGCTATGTGATTCGGTGGTTAGTTGGGTGGTTGGTTCGGTGATTGGGTGGTTGGCTGGGTGATGGCTGAGAAATCGATTGGTTTATTTGATCGGCTGAGTGATTGAGCGGTTTGCTGTGTGGTTGGGTGGCTGAGTGATTGAGTGGATAGCTAAGTGATTGAGTTGGCTCAGTGATTGCAAGGTTGGCCGAGTGATTGAGTGGATAGTTACGTGATTTGGGCAGCTGACTGAGAGACTGAGTTGCTGGCTGGTCTGTGGGTTGTGGACTAACGTAAGTTTCGCTCGTGTGCTGTAGGTACCCAAAGCTGGTAGCCAACAACCCCGAGTCAAACACAGCTGGGAGCGACGTCTTTGCCAAGTTTTCTGCGTTCATCAAGAACACGAGCAGCGCCAACAATGACGGTGAGTGGAACTCTGTCCACGTGGCTCTGTGTCTTCCTGTCCCTGTGTCCACGTGTCTCTGTGTCTCCCTGTTCCCGTGTCTCCCTGTTTCCGTGTCCACGTGTCTCCCTGTCTCTGTGTCCACGTGTCTCTGTGTCTTTCAACTTCCTGTGGCTCGTTTGCATGATGCACAATGGCTGTGTGCTTTGTGGACATTTACGTGATTGTTTTACTCATTGTTATCTCGCCTGCACTGTTATTCTGTTATGATGATGGGGTTTTCCCATCATTTACAAACTTGAATCACAAAGGGGATATCAATGGAGTGTTTGGCATGGGGCATCATGGGTGGTGGTAAAACACTCAAGGGGAGAAATGTAACATTGAACACATAAAGAGGTGCCCACCAAATCTATAACACCCCCCCCCCACCCCATCAAATGTAACCCGGTGCTGTCTGTGTACGTACATGTGTGTGTGTGTGCACGTGTGTGTGCATGTGCACGTGTGTGTGTGTATGTGCACGTGTATGTGCACGTGTGTGTGCGCGTGCACGTGTGTTTGTGTGCACGTGTATGTGTGTGCACGTGTGTGTGTGTTAAGGCTAGACGGGGGATATTTGTCTGTGTGTGGAGAGCGGTGGTGCAGCGGTTAGCGGTGGTGCAGTGGTCAGCGCTACGCTGCGCTACGAACCTGGCCACCCGGGTTCAATTCCCGCTCACGGCCAAAACCAATGACGATTATCTGAACCATCCCTGGGCCTCCCCTAGGTCGACTCAACCTCAAAATGAGTGCCTGGTGCGGTGTGTAAACATCGCCACTGGGGACAGACAAAGGTGGCCGGGCGTGGTGCTGGTCACCCACCCCCCCTCGCGTGCCGTGCCGGCCTTCATAGGTGCTGCTCGCTAACCGCACTTGCCCTCGCAGTCCGTTGGAGGCTCTCCGGGAGAAATCTTTGTCTTCTTTGTCGTTTGGCTTTGCAGCGCTGGAGAAGGCGCTGCTGAAGGCGCTGGGCCGCCTGGACGACTTCCTCGCGACTCCGCTGCCGGACGAGGAGGCGGTGGAGGGCGAGGACGGGACGCCCGGCACGAGATCCACGCGCAGTTTCCTGGACGGAGAGCGGCTCACGCTCGCCGACTGCAACCTGCTGCCCAAGCTGTACACCGTGCAGGTCGGGCGGCACGGGGACACGCGGCTCGCACGCTCGCACGCACGCACAAGGTCCCCTCCCCCGTAGCCTTTAACAGATCGTACATGATCTTTTTGGTTCTTTCGGTAAAGTCACGTGGAATGGAAAAAAAAACATAATAAAATTATTCTGACGACGTTTTGGCCACAACGCAAGCAGCCGTCCTCAGGTGAAGAACAGGTCTGTCGAGAAGACAGAGTCTGAATGAAACACCCCAGGCTTGGAGCGTCTATTTAAGCTGGGTTGGAGGGGGAAGAGCGCCTTGACACAATAATTTGCATATCAAGAGGAATTTAGCATATATTTATTTTATTCTATTATTTCCATTCTATGTGACTTTACCAAGAGAACCAAGAAGATGAATCCCTACAGTCACGAAAGCTTTAAATCGAAATTTAGATCGTACATGAGTCAGTTTCTAGCGCTTGACACAACCTCTCTCACTCTGATAGGACTAGTGGTTGGAGTGGAACTGTTTTTGCTGTTTTACTGCCTTCTTCAAGCTCGGCAATTGATGTACGGCTGCTAATTCAACTTATATACTTTAGAAATGTAATGGGCACCACGGTGGCGAGATGGGATCTTCCTCGCCTGGTGTGCAGGAGGTCGGGGGTTTGACCCCGGCCCTGACGCCTGCTGCTGTGTATCTGGACTTTGAATGTTCTCCCCGTGGTCGCGTGGATTTTTTTTTCCACGTCCTCCGGTTTTTCCTCCACACTTATGAACGTGATAATTGAGATGATTTTGCTTCTATAAATGTCGACATGATAGGACACTTTGATGAGCTATCATTTGTGGCCAGGTCACTTCTGAAAAATAAGTCAAAAGCTCAGCGAACTTCACGTGGTGAAATAAAAATGGTCGAGTTTTATTTGTATGCTTTTGTGTGATTTTTTTTTACCTTTCCTATGCTTTCCACTCCCATCGTGTTGTTGTACTATTTGTTCCTGTAACGTTCTGACCCCGTGCCCCGACTGGACAATTCATCTGATTCCTCCACGATATAAAAACTAAACACATCTTATTCTCATTGTCTCTGTGCTCGTGCAGGTCGTCCTGAGGAAGTTCAAGGGAATGGAGATCCCCGCGCAGTTCACGGGGATTGCGCGGTACCTCAAGCACGCGTGCGCGCAGCCCGAGTTCACCGACACGTGCCCGGCCGACAGCGAAATCGAAGCGGCCTACACCGCCGTGGCCCGGCCCCTCGCATAGACGCGGCGCGACCGCATGGCACGGCACGGCACGGCTCGGCATGGCGTGGCACGGCATGGCTCGGCACGGCGTGGCATGGCGGGTGTAACGGCCGCTCCCCCTTACTCCTAACGCATTGCAGCATCAGCTCTGTCCCTGGTTTTCCACCGTTGACCAATCCAGACATGTCTCTCGCTCAGCACTAGGCCTATTCACATTCGTGCAGCGTACTGTAATAGCCAACAACACGATGTATGTTGAACTTCTTTCGCGCCGTACGTAGTCAACCGCGCTAATCGGAGGTGCGGGGAAGGATAGCGACATATCGGCCACCGAGGCATTGTGGGACATTGAGTCGTCACACGTTCCATGGCTCAACGTCAACCAACGTTGGACCAACGTTGGCATCTGCGTGACTGCCATACTCGTTTCTGTGTAGCTGCCATACTTTTTAATCTCTATTTAAACTATAAACACATTTTTATTTGACCAGGTAAGGCCCACTGAGCTGTGTAGCTCTTTATCAGAAGCGATCTGGCCACAAATGACAGCTCAACGAAGTGGCTCAGAATGTGGACATTTATAGCAGCCAAATACCCTAAAAGCACGTTGATTCTAAATGTGGAGGGAAACACCGGAGGACCTGGAGAAAAATCCACGCGACCACGGGGAGAGAAAGAGAGACGCGCAAACTCCAAATATACAGCAGCAGGCGTCAGGGTTGGGATCGAACCCACGACCTCCTGTACACCAGGCGAGGTAGTTAACATCTCGCGACGGTGGCGCCCACTTGAGCGTCTTCACGGCAGCCTGCTACGTGGGGAGCACGCGCCTGAAAGTCAATTTAAAGTTTGTTTTCTCACGAGCAGAGAGTCACATGGGTGTCGTGGCAGTCAATTGCAAAGCAGCTGAGGTGTGAGTCGACAAGATAAGAGTCTGAAAAATAAGAAAATGTTTTACCCCTTCTGGCAATAGAACAGGAGTTGTGTTAAGATGTTCAAACGCCAAATAGAAACCCTTTGCAAGGACTCAAGTGCGAACCACTCACATCAACCAAACACGGTACTTGTGGCGAACATGGAAACAAACGCGCTCTGATGATAATAATTCACGGCATAGTCTTTGAAGCCGATTGGCCTTCACCGTACACAGCAGCTTCTTCCGTGTCCTTGTCTCACGAGTGTCAGAGCAGAGAACAACGCCAACATGTGAACGGATGAGAGCCGTTTGGTTGTTGTTTGCGCTCGTTGCGATGCCCCTTCAATCCACACATTTAAGCCGCGCTGGCACCTGCGCCAATAATCACAATTCCGACTGACAGAGCTGTCCGTTGTGTATGTTGAACTTCTTTCGCACCATACGTACGCTAATCGGAGGTGCTGCGTTTGAAGCTACATCGTTAGTGTGCTATGAAGGAGGGCCACATTACCCAGACACGTTGCCTTGTTACACATTCTTCCTTTTAAGGCGACACACAGCGTTACCTGCTGATCCGCCCAGGCTGGACATGTGTGAAAAGAGCTTCACAGCTCATCGGATTCCTCCCCAAGTCTAAATAAAACATTCCGATTCAGTGGCATTGTTGTTGTTGTTGACGAGCGTGTTGAGTTGTTGATTGCGAGCTGATGCTTGCGCACCTGCTGCCACCGCAGCGTCTTTCGCATGGATTCAGAGCGGCAGGTTAAAGGTGTAAGGATCTTTGCGAGGACATCTGTCTCCGCTCGGGATAGGCCCTCAACATGTCGCTGGCAAGGACGAACCAAGGGGTCCGATGGATCGGTTCGTCTGGCCCTGAGGAGGACCTTTGTTGCCAGGCTTGTTGTTTCTGCATGGCGACGTTACGGTTGGTTTCCTTCGCGATGTCGTCCCTTACGAACTTCGTCGTTGAACTTCGTTGCCGCAACCGTGTGGGGCCGCGAGAAGGCTGACAGCACCCCGCCGCATCATCCGCAACAGCGTCACCAGAGGTCGCAAGTGTAGTGTAACAGTGCCAGCTGGTGGACAACAGCGCCGGCTGGCGGACAGACAGCGCACACGCCGGTGAGGGCGTGAGCACGGGGTGTGGGCAGAGCGGAGGAACTGGGGCAAGGGTCACGGAGGACCCCGTCTGGAGGCCCCTGGAACCTGCCGGCGGGTTCGAGAAGGAGGCGCGGTCAGGGTGGAGCCAGGCCGCGCTGCCGGGAGCATAAAAGGAGCCGAGAGCGGGGGGCTCGCGGCTGTCGGTGCTGGAAGTGGACTCGTCTCGTCGCCGCTAAACGTCTCCGCTAGATGTTGCGCTACGAAGGAGAGGAGTCGGCTATCTCAGTCAGCGCCGTCCGTGTTAGACGGCCGGTGTTGTGTACAGGCTGAGCTACTGTGGAGAGTGTGTGGACGAGACCGTGAATGGTGGTGAATAAAGAAGGTGCCTCCTACAAACCTTGTCTCCGAATCATTGACACTACACATTTATTGAACATTGTGGCAGTCTTTTGAAAGGGGGCCCTTTTCTCACAGTTGGGATGGGGGGGTCAGGTGGCAAAATATTTTACATTCGAGGCAAGTGGCTTACGGGTGGCAAGGAGTAGTATTGATTCGGGGGGGTTATTTCTGATATCGTGAGAAAGGATTTTTTTTAGAAAAGCCATTAAATATCCATGCTGATGCGTTGGGCGAGTGCAATGCTGCACTATATAGGCAACCACAGATGTTGGAGAGTGCGTGGAGGAGAGTGGAGTGAGATGAGAGGGGAGAGGCAGGAGAGTGCGTGGAGGGGAGTGGAGAGAGATGAGAGGGGAGAGGCAGGAGAGTGCGTGGAGGGGAGTGGAGTGAGATGAGAGGGGAGAGGCAGGAGAGTGCGTGGAGGGGAGTGGAGTGAGATGAGAGAGGCAGGAGAGTGCGTGGAGTGGAGTGAGATGAGAGGGGAGAGGCAGGAGAGTGCGTGGTTGGGAGTAGAGTGAGATGAGAGAGGTAGGAGAGTGAGTGGAGGGGAGTGGAGTGAGATGAGAGGGGAGAGGTAGGAGAGTGCGTGGAGGGGAGTAGAGTGAGATGAGAGGGGAGAGGCAGGAGAGTGCGTGGACAGGAATGGAGTGAGATGAGAGGGGAGAGGCAGGAGAGTGTGTGGAGGGGAGTGGAGTGAGATGAGAGGGGAGAGGCAGGAGAGTGCGTGGAGGGGAGTAGAGTGAGATGAGAGAAGAGAGGCAGGAGAGTGCGTGGAGGGGAGTGGAGTGAGATGAGAGGGGAGAGGTAGGAGAGTGCATGGAGGGGAGTAGAGTGAGATGAGAAGGGAGAGGCAGGAGAGTGCGTGGACAGGAATGGAGTGAGATGAGAGGGGAGAGGCAGGAGAGTGTGTGGAGGGGAGTGGAGTGAGATGAGAGGGGAGAGGCAGGAGAGTGCGTGGACAGGAATGGAGTGAGATGAGAGGGGAGAGGCAGGAGAGTGTGTGGAGGGGAGTGGAGTGAGATGAGAGGGGAGAGGCAGGAGAGTGCGTGGAGGGGAGTAGAGTGAGATGAGAGGGGAGAGGCAGGAGAGTGCGTGGACAGGAATGGAGTGAGATGAGAGGGGAGAGGCAGGAGAGTGTGTGGAGGGGAGTGGAGTGAGATGAGAGGGGAGAGGCAGGAGAGTGTGTGGAGGGGAGTAGAGTGAGCTGAGAGGGGAGAGGTAGGAGAGTGCGTGGAGGGGAGTGGAGTGAGATGAGAGGGGAGAGGGAGGAGAGAGCGTGGAGGGGAGTGGAGTGAGATGAGTGGGGAGAGGCAGGAGAGAGCATGGAGGGGAGTGGAGTGATATGAGAGGGGAGAGGCAGGAGAGTGTGTGGAGGGGAGTAGAGTGAGCTGAGAGGGGAGATGTAGGAGAGTGCGTGGAGGGGAGTGGAGTGAGATGAGAGGGGAGAGGGAGGAGAGAGCGTGGAGGGGAGTGGAGTGAGATGAGAGGTAGGAGAGTGCGTGGAGGGGGTAGAGTGAGATGAGAGGGGAGAGGCAGGAGAGTGTGTGGAGGGGAGTAGAGTGAGATGAGAGGGGAGAGGCAGGAGAGTGCGTGGAAGAAAGTAGAGTGAGATGAAAGGGGAGAGGCAGGAGAGTGCGTGGAGGGGAGTAGAGTGAGATGAGAGGGGAGAGGCAGGAGAGTGCGTGGAGGGGAGTGAAGTGAGATGGGAGGGGAGAGGTAGGAGAGTGCGTGGAGGGGAGTAGAGTGAGATGAGAGGTAGGAGAGTGCGTGGAGGGGAGTGGAGTGAGATGAGAGGGGAGAGGCAGGAGAGGGAGATGAGAGGTAGGAGAGTGCGTGTAAGGGAGTTGAGTGAGATGAGAGGGGGAGAGGCAGGAGAGTGTGTGGAGGGGAGTAGAGTGAGATGAGAGGGGAGAGGTAGGAGAGTGTGTGGAGGGGAGTGGAGTGAGATGAGAGGGGAGAGGTAGGAGAGTGCGTGGAGGGGAGTAGAGTGAGATGAGAGGTAGGAGAGTGCGTGGAGGGGAGTGGAGTGAGATGAGAGGGGAGAGGTAGGAGAGGGAGATGAGAGGTAGGAGAGTGCGTGTAAGGGAGTTGAGTGAGATGAGAGGGGGAGAGGCAGGAGAGTGTGTGGAGGGGAGTAGAGTGAGATGAGAGGGGAGAGGTAGGAGAGTGTGTGGAGGGGAGTGGAGTGAGATGAGAGGGGAGAGGCAGGAGAGTGCGTGGAGGGGGAGTAGAGTGAGATGAGAGGGGAGAGGCAGGAGAGTGCGTGGAGGGGAGTAGAGTGAGATGAAAGGGGAGAGGCAGGAGAGTGTGTGGAGGGGAGTAGAGTGAGATGAGAGGGGAGAGGCAGGAGAGTGCGTGGAGGGGAGTAGAGTGAGATGAAAGGGGAGAGGCAGGAGAGTGCGTGGAGGGGAGTAGAGTGAGATGAGAGGTAGGAGAGTGCGTGGAGGGGGTAGAGTGAGATGAAAGGGGAGAGGCAGGAGAGTGTGTGGAGGGGAGTAGAGTGAGATGAGAGGGGAGAGGCAGGAGAGTGCGTGGAGGGGAGTAGAGTGAGATGAAAGGGGAGAGGCAGGAGAGTGCGTGGAGGGGAGTAGAATGAGATGAGAGGTAGGAGAGTGCGTGGAGGTGAGTAGAGTGAGATGAGAGGGGAGAGGCAGGAGAGTGCGTGGAGGTGAGTAGAGTGAGATGAGAGGGGAGATGTAGGAGATTTCGTGGAGGGGAGTGGAGTGAGATGAGAGGGGAGAGGGAGGAGAGTGTGTGGAGGGGAGTGGAGTGAGATGAGAGGGGAGAGGCAGGAGAGTGCGTGGAGGGGAGTAGAGTGAGATGAGAGGGGAGAGGCAGGAGAGTGCGTGGAGGGGAGTAGAGTGAGATGAGAGGGAGAGGCAGGAGAGTGTGTGGAGGGGAGTAGAGTGAGATGAGAGGGGAGAGGTAGGAGAGTGTGTGGAGGGGAGTGGAGTGAGATGAGAGGGGAGAGGCAGGAGAGTGCGTGGAGGGGAGTGGAGTGAGATGAGAGGGGAGAGGTAGGAGAGTGTGTGGAGGGGAGTGGAGTGAGATGAGAGGGGAGAGGTAGGAGAGTGCGTGGAGGGGAGTGGAGTGAGATGAGAGGGGAGAGGTAGGAGAGTGCGTGGAGGGGAGTGGAGTGAGATGAGAGGGAGAGGTAGGAGAGTGTGTGGAGGGGAGTGGAGTGAGATGAGAGGGGAGAGGTAGGAGAGTGCGTGGAGGGGAGTAGAGTGAGATGAGAGGGGAGAGGCAGGAGAGTGCGTGGAGGGGAGTGAAGTGAGATGGGAGGGGAGAGGTAGGAGAGTGCGTGGAGGGGAGTAGAGTGAGATGAGAGGTAGGAGAGTGCGTGGAGGTGAGTAGAGTGAGATGAGAGGGGAGAGGTAGGAGAGTGCGTGGAGGGGGACGAGAGATGACGTCATCCTCTTGACGGCTCGGCGGGGCTCGTGACGTCAGCCCGCGAGTTGCACAAAGCGTGACGTCATGTCGTTTGAACCGAGACGCGCGAGTGCGTCACGCTGTGCGCGACTTCGTCACTGTGCTCGGCATGGCCTCCACACGAGGCCGCGAGGTGGCGACCGCTGCTCTGCGACTGCTCCGCTGGTGCGTGTGGGTAGCAGGAGGAGGAGGGGATGGCCTCATCATCACCACCACCACCACCTCGCCATCAGCAGCCACCACCTCGTCGTCGTCACACACACACGCGCCGGCACCGGTCACGCCTCGCCAGCAATACCACATGCACCACACAGAGGTCATCCTCATCGGCGACAAAGCCTCTCGCACACTGGCAGGGCAAGTGCTGTTCGCGAGCACCTATGAAGGCCGGGACGCGGCTGTGTGTGGCCAGCACCACGCCCGACCGCCTTTGTCTCCCCAGTGGCGATGTTTTCATGGCGCTGGGGTACTGCTTTTGAGGCTGAGACGACCTATGGGAGGGCCTAGGATCGGTTGAGATGAGAGCGTCACACTGATGTAGGCCGTGAGCGGGATTCGAACTCGGGTGGCCGGGTTCGCAGTGCAGTTCGCTACCCACGTCTACGTGGTCTCACTCCACTGCTGGACTGCTCACTTAATAAGTTATCCACACGTCCTCGTGTGAGCTGTACACACACACTCTTCTCTCATCGTTACTGTACGGTGGACTTTTTTCGCACCGTACGTAGCCAACCGTGCCAGTCGGAGGTTAACTTCATCTCACCCACGCCGTCAGCGCACGTGGCAACAAGTTGCACCTCGTCAAGTTGCACCTCGTCAAGTTGCACCTCGTCAAGTTACACCTCGTTAACTTAAACCTCAACAAGTTGCACCTCGTCAAGTTACACCTCGTTAACTTAAACCTCAACAAGTTACACCTTAACAACCATCTCAACTCGTCATCAGATTTATATAATCAACCACAATGCATCATCATCATCCATTACAAACGTTTGTAAACGCCTCATCAACGTACAGTCACATAAAAACAAACTCATCTATCTGCTGCATAACATCACGATCAATTAATGCGCATACTTACATCGCGTCATCAACATCACGTCATCAACACATCAACACCGCGTCATCAACACCTCGTCAACAACACCTCGTCATCAACATCACGTCATCAACATCACGTCATCAACATCACGTCATCAACATCACGTCATCTACACCTCGTCAACAACACCTCGTCATCAACATCACGTCATCAACACCTCGTCATCAACATCACGTCATCAACATCACGTCATCAACACATCAACACCGCGTCATCAACATCACGTCATCAACATCACGTCATCAACACCTCGTCATCAACATCATCAACACATCGTCACCTCGTCATCAACACCTCGTCATCAACACATCGTCATCACGTCATCAACACCTCGTCATCAACATCATCAACACATCGTCACCTCGTCATCGTCACCTCGTCATCAACACCTCGTCATCAACACCTCGTCATCAACACCTCGTCATCAACACCGCGTCATCAACACCTCGTCATCATCACCTCGTCATCAACATCACGTCATCAACACCTCGTCATCAACACATCGTCATCACGTCATCGTCACCTCGTCATCAACATCGCATCATCAACACCTCGTCATCAACACATCGTCATCACGTCATCACGTCATCGTCACCTCGTCATCAACATCGCATCATCAACACCGCGTCATCAACACATCGTCATCAACACCTCGTCATCAACACATCGTCATCAACACCTCGTCATCAACACATCGTCATCAACACCTCGTCATTAACATCACGTCATCAACACCTCGTCATCAACATCACGTCATCATCACCTCGTCATCAACATCACGTCATCATCACATCGTCATCAACATCACGTCATCAACACATCGTCATCAACACATCAACACCGCGTCATCATCACCTCGTCATCAACATCACGTCATCATCACCTCGTCATCAACATCACGTCATCAACACATCGTCATCAACATCACGTCATCACATCGTCATCAACACCTCGTCATCAACACATCAACACCTCGTCATCAACACATCGTCACCTCGTCAACACCTCGTCATCAACACCTCGTCATCAACACCTCGTCATCAACACCTCGTCATCAACACCTCGTCATCAACACCTCGTATTCAACACCATGTCATCAACACCTCGTCATCAACACATCGTCAACACCTCGTCATCAACACCTCGTCATCAACACCTCGTCATCAACACCTCGTCATCAACACATCGTCACCTCGTCAACACCTCGTCATCAACACCTCGTCATCAACACCATGTCATCAACACCTCGTCATCAACACATCGTCATCAACACCTCGTCATCAACACCTCGTCATCAACACCATGTCATCAACACCATGTCATCGTCAACACCTCGTCATCAACACCTCGTCATCAACACCATGTCATCGTCAACACCTCGTCATCAACACCTCGTCATCAACACATCGTCAACACCTCGTCATCAACACCTCGTCATCAACACCTCGTCATCAACACCTCGTCATCAACACCTCGTCATCAACACCATGTCATCAACACCTCGTCATCAACCGTCATCAACACATCGTCAACACCTCGTCATCAACACCTCGTCATCAACACATCGTCACCTCGTCAACACCTCGTCATCAACACCATGTCATCAACACCTCGTCATCAACACATCGTCACCTCGTCAACACCTCGTCATCAACACCTCGTCATCAACACCATGTCATCAACACCATGTCATCGTCAACACCTCGTCATCAACACCTCGTCATCAACACATCGTCACCTCGTCAACACCTCGTCATCAACACCTCGTCATCAACACCTCGTCATCAACACCTCGTCATCAACACCATGTCATCAACACCTCGTCATCAACACATCGTCACCTCGTCAACACCTCGTCATCAACACCTCGTCATCAACACCATGTCATCAACACCATGTCATCAACACCATGTCATCGTCAACACCTCGTCATCAACACCTCGTCATCAACAACTTACAACACGGAATCTGCACCTCATCGTATACACAATCGTCAAGTTGTCAGCCATCAACTACACGCGTGGTTACCTCGTTACTTACACCTCGTTACACACATTGCCGCCTCGACAACGGAACCCTAAACACTGCACACCTCATCAACTACAACACTGATCAACTACAACAACATTGATCAACAACACTGGATCAACACCAATAACATTGATCAACACCGACAACATTGATCAACACCAACAACATTGATCAACACCGACAACATTGATCAACACCAATAACATTGATCAACACCAATAACACACCGTGCGAATTTAAGGTGTATTGTTGTAACGTTCTTACCCCGTACCCCCACTAGACATCTGTGAGAAAAGAGCTTCATAGCTCATCTGATTCCTCCAGCATAAATTTTCTGTTTCTGCATGAAGCTGTATGCCATGACAAATATACTCTGCAGACCGTGTTGAAGTGGTCTGGCGCGAAGTGGCTGTGGACCATACGAAGTGAAGTCACGGGCCGGATGTGTGGCACGGGCCGTGTGTTCTCCACCCCTGTCCCAAAGCGTGACCTCTGCTCTTTGCTCAAACGTAGGTCCGTGCTGCTGCCGCCTCCCAAGCGCAGCAGCTTCCACGTCTGGGCACGCCGGCTGCTGGGACCTCGCCTGCTGGGGACCGCCGGAGCGCTGGCAGGAGCCTCCCTCTGTGCTGTACCAGTCTTCCCTGTATGACCCAACACACAGACACACACACACACGAGCCACCACGGTGTCTAAGCTAAGCTAAAAACTTAATCTTCTTGGTTCTTTCGGTAAAGTCACGTAGAAGGAAAATGATAAAATAATAAAAATAAAATATAATAAAATAATTCTCACGACGTTTCGGCCACAACGCAAGCAGCCGTCTTCAGGTGAAGACCGGGTCTGTCAAGGAGACCTGTTCTTCACCTGAAGACGGCTGCTTGCGTTGTGGCCGAAACGTCGTGAGAATTATTTTATTATGTTTTATTTTTTTATTTTATCATTTTCCTTCTGCGTGACTTTACCGAAAGAACCAAGAAGATGAATCCCTGCAGTCACGAAAGCTTTAAATCGAAATCTAAAAACTTAACTTTTATTTATTTTCACCAGGGAAGGCCCACTGAGCTATGAAACTGTTTTTCAGAAGTGACCCGGCCACAATTGGTAGCGCAACGAAGTGGCTTATCATGCAGAAGTTTATTGCACCCAATTACGATTTTAGATGTGGAGGGAAAAGCTGCAGGACCCTGATAAAAATCCACATGACCACGAGGAGAACATGCAAACTCCAAATATATAGGAGTTGGGATTGAACCCACGACCTCCTGTATACCAGGCGAGGTAGTTAACATCTTACCACCATGGCACCCAATAATGACGTGACGTGTTTGCCAGTGAGTTCACGATGGCTCTCTACGTGAATTTTATTGGTATTTTTTGATTTCCTTACGCACACAGTCCATTTCTTAAAATGGAATTGAACAAACACCTCAACACCCTTGTGAATGTCTTCAAGTTCATTGCAGAAATCCTTGATGACTGATCAGTGACATCGGTCACTCAGCTATGAACTTTTCAGGTTCTGAGGACAATGGGATTCATCATTCACGGCATTCCAATTATTTTTATTTCATTTAGTGCCATGTATTCATGTAACAATTATTTGAAAAATCAACAGTACAGATAAATTCGATGTCCATGCTAAAAGAGTATCCTGTTCAGGTACAGGATGAAACCATATACTTCCTTTAAAGTTTGCTTAATATATGCATTTAGCCCATACTGAAAAATATTGCAATCGAAAATAATCTACACATGATGGACAATATCCCATTCATCAGTTGGAATCAGGAGGCTATTCTAAATACAAATGTATCGTGTATTATTCCAGGAGGTAGTGACTGCTAAAACGAAATATTTAAAAAACGAAGGATTACTCATTTTATGTGATTTAAAAGTGCCATTTTTTATCTGACTAAGTTGATTAATTTCCCTCCTTAATGAAAACTCAGGTATTGCCTAGTTTGGTAGTAGGGTTGACATGAACTAACTAATACGTCAATTTTATTATGTACCTATCTATGTACATGTTCTGCTTCACAAATCATGCGTGCCACTGCACGTGTGGTGCATGTTCACGCATGGTGTGTGTGTGTGTCTCAGTGCAGGTAAGGTGATCTTCTGTTAACTTCGTAATTTCCTGACTGGTGTCAGCACGTTCGTACTCTATATATACTTGTGGGAATTGATCAAGCTTCTATGTAACATAAACACTGGGGAGACAAAGACAGCCAGGCGTGGTGCTGTGCACACCACCCCCTTGTGCGCCACAGAGACCTGAATAGGCGCTTGCTAAAAGCACTTGGCACAGCAGTCTACAAGGTTACGCGAGGGATCTTTGTCTTTTAGCATGTGTGTATTCATGTTTGGCATGTAATAATTCACTCCTGATTTATGGATGGTTATTTGTTTGCACGGTCTTGTTTGTATTGTCTGCCTTTTCTACCTTTGTTATGTGTGCCTAATGCTAAATTATGGGTCTTATTTGCAACATTTAACCCATATGTCATAAGCAAACAAATGTATTGGGCGATTCCATGTCAACTGAATCAGAGTTACCCACCTCAAGATTTTGCTTATATGTCACGTTGAGGCAGTGGCGTGGCCCAGTGGTTGACGTTCACCGCTTTTTGCAGAAATTCACAGTTGGAATCCAACAGGTGGCCCTGGTTAATATTGCAGGTGTATTAACCGGGAGATACTACAAGCCTTCTGCTTCACAGTGGATTAAAAGTGTAGGCTATTGTGTGCCGTTGTCATTGTCAAATGTTTTAATGTTATGGATTGCATATATAGCAACATGGGCCCCTATTGTGAAACTACTACAGACTACGATCGTCTGTGAACATAATGCTTTCGTGAAAGCATTCCACCATAAGAATGGTGCGAATACCAAATGTACAAAATTATTCAATTAAAAAAATGTGTGAAACCAGGACAAATATGTAAGCACAGTAATTCATATTTACTGAGATACCCTCTTCTCATAGGTCTGGGTCAAACACTTGAAATGCATCTCGTTTCAAAGTGATTTTTTGTCAATGGTATTCATAATGATGGCACATACTGTAATTGATTGTTACCTGTGTCATGAATGTGCGTGGCAACACACAGATCCCTGAGGCAAACTCTCTGAGTCAAGAGACGCTGCTCAAAAGGGCTGCCTCCCTGGCCACGGATGGAGCCACTGCCTTTCTCTCTCAGGCTGCGCTGGCCCTCTTGGATTCCCTCGACAGATACACGAAGGCACGTTGGCGTCGCAGCACTCGCAACACAACCGTTGGGCGGTGGTGATGTGGCCCAGCGGTGGCGCATTCGCCGCTTGTCATAGAGGCGGCGTGCCACGCTGGCGAGATGTTAACTACCTCGCCTGGTTCACAGGAGGTTTGTGGGTTCAGTTCTGACGCCTGTTGTATATTTGGAGTTTGCATGTTCTTGCCATGGTCACATGGATTTTTCTCCGGGTACTCCTGATTTTCCGTTGACATTAAGATTCAACATGCGTTTAGAGTAATTGGCCGCTGTAAATTTCCACATGATAAGCCACTTTGTTGAGCTATCAGTTGTGCCCAGGTCGCTTCTGAAAAGAGCTTCTGTATGTAGCTTAGTGGGCCTTACCTGGTAAAATAAAAAGTAGTTTAGTAGTTGGTTTACGGTTCAAATCTAGCGCCGCACCGATACTGTGGGTGTAGTAGCCATAGTATACTGCGTCACTCACCGTGGGCATTAAAGATCCCCTGGCGTCATTCACAAGAGTTGGCGTTGGGGTCCAAATTTGCCAAATTTGCCAAATTTTAAAATGATCCACAAATGATTCAATTTGGACGGTACACAGCAATATTTGCCCCTTACTCGCAAACCCATGCCCCGTGTCACTCTTGCAAAAAGACTGATCCCGGTCTCTCGGGTTCTGACCTTGTTAAACAAGTAAATGGGAAACATTCCAGCTTGTTACCATTTTTCAAGTGATTCAAAGTCGCATGCATAGCTGGCGTGGAGGTGCCATGTATAGTTTCCTGTTAGCATGTCAAATAATGGTTGTTGAGCACAAAACCCAGAACAACGAGTGGCTGGCAACAGAGAGCACTGACGAAGTGGTAATTAATAAGCGTGAGTGCATTTGCTTTCTTGCATTGAGCCAGGGACATTATAATTTTGGGAAAAGAGACGATGGGAGGGAATTCTAAAGTGGAGCAGTGTGAGGACAGAAGTGCAAAGAGAAGTGTTGTGACCTGCAGTGTGGTGCTTGTACGCACCATGGATTAGAAGAAACGTATGTACTTGCGTGTGCTTATCTCTGTGTGTGCTTATTTCTGTGTGTGTCATGTGTCTGGCGAGCAGGCCTTACACACGATGGGATCGCTTTCGCAGCAGTACGTGGACCTGATGGCCCAGCTCAGCTCGAAGGACGAGGAGTCCGTCTGGAACCTTATTGTTGAAGCTCGCGCAGACGTAATGATAATAACAACAATGCAATTCTTAACACACGCACTATTTCACAGGCATAATTACTCTGAGGCGTAGAGCCAGGCTCCGTGTCGCTCGGAAAGCCAGACAAGAGATGTGGGGCCTTTAAGTGTCTCGTAAATGTTTCATACTCACATTAAACTATCGATACACAGTCAAGGGTCAAAGTTACATATCATATTACCAAATGTGACCTTATCCAGCAGTAATCTTCTGCTTCTGGATATTTTTTCGAAGGAACATTTCACGACGTTGCTTCACGATGCACTACTGCCGTCGTGAAATCATCTGTTGTGATGCCGCAGGTCATCCGGCGGCAGGACGAGTGTCAGAAGATGGAGGAGACGTGGACTGCGGCGCTGTACCTCTCGAAAGGGGCGGCCGAAGCTGCCTTCAAAGCAGGTGCCCTCTGCTGCCACCCGCCCTCCGCACACTCCCCCCAACAACAACCGCCATTCGCCACTAAGTGGCGGTGACGTCACCACGGCGCTTGTGCCAGGCTATGTGGACGTTAAGGCCACGTGAAGCAGGAGGTCACGGGACACACCCTGCAGGCGCCATGGGTTCACTGACTGAGATGACGAAGTACTACGAAACTTTGTGGAAACGAATTCAACACTCTCCCCCATCACCTGCAGAGAAAAGAGGGGCTGTGGTGACTCAGATCTTGCATACGTCTCAAAAATCCCCCTGATGGACAATTTTATGCCGGTGGCCACATTAATAAGGTTTTCTTGTCTTCTTACCAAAGGGCCCTCTAGCCATCTGAGTCGACTTTCAGCTTATCCAAGATGGATACCAAGCACCATTCTTGCCTTCCTCCTCGTCTCTCCATATCTGACCCAATGCAGAATCAGAATATGTCTTTATCAATGGAGAAATCCAGTAAGCTATGAAGTTCTTTTTAACAGATGTCCAATATGGTTGGTTCAGAAAGTTACAAAAACAAACAATACAGACAACGATCGGAGTGCAAAGTTTCGGAAAAGAAAACAAATCACAAACATTTAATATGTAAGCAAGATCAAGTATATTGCATACAACTTGATTTGAAGCTTTCGTGACTGCAGGAATTACTCTTTGATTCTTTTGGTAAAGTCACGTAGAAAGAACAAATTAAATAATAGAATACGACGTTTCGATTACAACACAAGCAATCGTCATCAGGTAGAAAACAAACCTAGTGAACTTGGAAATACAATGCAATACAACACAGAGAGTCAGCTAACGTAACAGTCAGCACCTTACCTGGTTGATTACGTTCGTCCAAAGATTGCTAAATTTGAGAGAGAGACAAAACACAGACACGAAGACACACAGACAGACACACAAGCAGAGAGAGACTGTGTGTGTCTCTCTCTGTGTGTCTCTGTGTTGTCTCTCTCTGCTTGTGTGTCTGTCCGTGTGTCTCCGTGTCTGTGTTTTGTCTCTCTCTCAAATTTAGCAATCTTTGGAAGAACGTAATCAACCAGGTAAGGTGCTGACTATTACGTTAGCCAACTCTCTGTGTTGCATTGCATTATATTTCTAAGTTCACTAGGTTTGTTTTCTACCTGATGACGATTGCTTGTGTTGAAATCGAAACGTCATATTCTATATTGCATACGTACACCAATTCCCCAGCTTAAGCAAGTCAGCAAAACAACATCAAAGACAGTCGTAAAAAATGTCACGTTAAAATGTTACTATCGATACATGGCAAAGGATGAAAGTTACAAATCACACTTGCAAATGATTGTTGTATCCAGCACTAATCTTCTGCTTAAGGATGCATTTTGAAGGAAGATTTACAACGTTATTGGAGGAAACAAGGTTCCAAAACGTTGGTGCTGCAACGGCAAAAGCTTTATGCCCTTTTCATTTTCTTGCTCTAGGGATGGTTAAAAGGCAATTATATGGACGTCTTAGGCTTTTTGGGTTTGACAATGGGGTTAATGGATTGCCAAGTATCGCGCAGATTTGCCAATCCAGTTTTATGATCCCCTGAGATCCATCTCGCCATACTAATTTGTTGCACAACATCAACTGCGGCTTGTTTTTTATTTACTCTTTTAATATTCGAGCACATGGTACTGATGACAACCCTACGAGACCCTAGTCCCGGTGGGAAAACCTCATAAACTCTACAATTGCTCGTGTGTTTTTCTCTGCCAGGTGTGGAAACGGCGGCAAAAGTAGCACTCACTCACCTGCAGCTGCTGCAGGAGCAGTTGGAGGAGGCTCACGCCCAGGCCAGGGCGGCTGAGACGAAGGTCGCCAAGGTGCAAGTGGGGGAGATCCAGCGCACGGCATTGCTGGCAAAGCAGAGGGAGGCCGGCAGCAAGGGTTCCTCCTCCCCGCAAGCCAAATCCTCTCAGCTCGCGTACCTGCAGGAAGAGGAACTCCCCGAGCAGTACCTTCGTGAAGATTGAGCCAGAGGTAGCCCGGTGGCTTAGGGAGGCTAATGTTATGCACGTCAATATGTGTAGAGTCAGAGGTTAATATAGATTCTTTTTTTTCACAATTTAGGCGAATTATATGCAAATGACGAGGGGAGCGGTGGGGCAAGTGATCAGCGTGCTGCGCTGTGAACCCGAATAGCTTGAGTTTGTTTGCCGGCGATTGCTAACAGCCGTGGCGAGCGATATCTGAACCAGGCCTCGGCCTCCCCTTCACCAACCCACACTGATAAGCTTGGTGAAGGATGGTCAAGTAGGTGTGGGGAGGCCTCCATCCAGCAGTGGATTGACAAAGGGCTCCAAGTTGCATGCAAGCAACGGTCTAATGGAGGTAACGCTGCTGTATGAACGAGACAGGATAAATTAGAATTGTTACAAACAAGACCATAAAAATTTGATCAAATAATTGGAATTTGCTGTTCTTGCACCCCTGTATAATGACAATGAGTGAAATGGCTGTTGGGGTGAGATGTTTACATGCCAAGCTGATGCCGTGTTGGAGCGCTGAGCTCAGCACCGCTGAGATCTTGAGGTCAAGCCCAGGAGACGTAACCCCGTGATTAACCATGATGCTCAAATTTAGCGAGTTGAGTTTCAACCAATGACTGCACGTTCAAAGAACCCAAACTGTAAAATGTTAAATCTTGACTTAAAGCTTTTGTGGCTGCAGGAATTCATATTCTTGGGTCTTTCGGTAAAGCCACATAGATAGATCAAAAATAATAAAAATAGCTATCACGACGTTTCGATCGCAACACAAACAATCGTCATAAGGTGAGAAATATCCCGCGATATTTTTCACCTGATGACGATTGCTTGTGTTGCGATTGAAACGTGGTGATATTGTTATTTTTATCTGTAAAATGTTGTAATTATCTCAATTGTGGCATATTCACCTGTGTACTCAAACAGGAAATTGCAGTGGTGTGAATTTGTTTTTGGGCTTTACACAAAAATGTTGCTGCCCTAGGTAAAGCACCTGCTAAGTGCCAAGCCACCCCAGAGGGACACACCCTTGTAACGTGAGACACGAAGTCCAAATGATCATCGTGTTCCAAAAGTTTAACATTGCAGTTTGATAGTGTTTGTAAAGGAGTGGTATGATGTTGCTTTATGCTTAGCACCCGCTCCCCTCTCAGGTTTTGATACGCCGTTATTGTTTGACAAGTTACGAATGAAAATGTTACGAAATAATAATTAAAATGCCCGCAACTGTCGATTAGGATTTTTTTTGTTTATTCTGTTGGAGAAAAAAAAACAATAAACGAAGTTTTTCAGAGTTTTCTGTTAATATTTAGAACGTTCTGCTTTGCTGCGCTTATTTAAATTGAGTTGTCAATTTGTGAAAGACTCTTGGTCTCATTCGGCTCTTAACTACCTATGAGTGAATAATTTCAAGACATTGGTTTGATTGACATGCAACGGACACTCCAGGGCACGTAAAGTGTGTTCTGTCGTGTGCATAAAGAAAGCAATTGAAGTGACTTCAAGAGTAATTCTGTGGGTCATCCTATTGCAAGGTGGTACACTGGGACTTGCTACATGACATGATGCTGAAAACACAGTCGCAAACCAAAAGGGGAGAAAACTAAATGCACCGAGAGAGAAGACTGAACAAGGACCCACATCAAGGCAAACTTGTAGGTTTTCAAGGAAAAACACAACCCACAAATACGTGGTTCTTACCTTGCAGGCTACCTGAGCTGTCCAAAGCTGTCTTAACGAGTTGTAATACCCAGCGAATGCGAACATATAACTTTAAAGTGACTTTTGCATACCATAATAGCGCTCTAGTAGAATCACTGCATTGGTATTAAAAGCTAGGATGGTAATGCTGCAGTGATGTAACCAGAGCCTGCTTTCAGGAACGTGTGTGGCTGAAAGTCCCTTTTAAAGTGTTTTCTTCCCACTCGTGCTGAACAGCTTGGGGCCACAGCCTCGGTGTTTGTCTGTGAACTCTGAGTCAATGAAATCTCATGGAAAAGTCCCAGCTGCTGAGACGAATGTTATAGTCTACAACGCTCGGTAAACTACAGGTGTACAATGAATGTGAACTGTTGTCAAATAGCGTTATCACGGTGTTACGCATTCACTGTTGCGCTTAATGATTTACACGTTTCTTACGTTTGGATGAAAGAAAAATCTGAATATGCATTGCCACCGTGATCTCAAGATGTAAGTAATAGATTCATCTTCAACATTCCACTTGATTTCTTCTGAAAATCTGGCTGTGCCTGATGATGCTCGTTGTAATTGCTGATGAAAGGTCATACTCAGATTGTAAATGTTGTGGATTTCCTGCAACACACCGGTGCGCTGTACTAGTTATGAATTGGCGTATTTGCATGACAAACCTTACTGATTGGCAGTGTCGGGTGCTGGCGGGTTTAACGACACATTTACGCGATCTAACCTAAAAAAACCTGTTATGGATGATATTGGTCGCGAAAGCCTACGTGTTAAACAGATTTCTTCTCTTTGCAGAAACTGCATCAATGTCATGACAGGTGGATGACAGCTCCCACTCGCAACGATCAACTTCGTTTTGATGGAGCCATCCAACTCTACCGTGCCAGAATGTGCGCCGCTCGCGGATAAACCCGTGGTGCCCAAACCGTGACTCAGTCCACGTGTGGCTCCCAGTCAGTTCAAAGTGCAACTCGATAGATGGTCAAATCGTTTGTAACTTTGTGGTTTTAATTTTATCCGAAATAGAAAACTGCTTAAGTGGACGCGGCCCCGGGACATGAGCATTTCCACGGCGCTCCCACAGATTTTTTAAAATCCAAAATTCTCGGCCAACCAGCGCAAGTGACCACCGCACGGTGTAACTTGCGGTTATCTGCGGCTTGTGAATATTTCATTTTTATGGTTCGCAGCGTCATAAGGTTTGGCCACCCCCGATCTCTGCTTTAGCCATGACATGTGCCCACCTCTCCTGAGGGTGACAGGTTTAGCCTGAGCACCGCAACCACAGAAGAGCCATGTCACGGGTTTAAATGTTATTCATGTGCAGCGCACTTCAATGCCAACCAGCATTGAGAGAGCGTGTAGACCACAGAGCTGTGGTCTTAAGTGAAAGTCGTGTGGCCTGCTGCAGGATAGAGAAGTGTCTCGTTCATCTGCCTCTGGTGATCAGGTTAATGTTTGCTCCGTTGAAAAAGAATGATCAAAATAAAAATAATAAACGTAGAGTTTACATTCTGCCCCTAACACTGTGTAACATTTCCTCCACGCTTAAAAAGCCATACTTCTCATTTTTCTGATCACCACTCAAACCTTCTATCGCATTCCCTTGTTACAGCACCTGAAGCCAAAAAAAATAAGTTGCGTCGCTTGTGACATTGTGATCACATGGGTGTCGGTGTCGCCCAGGGGGCAATGCCCCTGCTGCTGTCCAAATAAACGCTCAAAATGTTTGCAACAAGCAAGTGCTGCAATTGTTGAGATCTGTTGGATGTTGTATAAATGTAATGGGAAGTCATTGCTTTTGCATGTTGTGTATTCACGTTGTACTTGTAGACAAATATCAGCAATCTCCAACTTGGCATCGGCAGCCTCCCAACACGTGCAGAGGTGAATCTGCTTACAAACGAGTCCGGTTCATCACCAGTCAATCTCCACCACGAGCCTCACCACTAGTCAACATCACTAGCCATGTCCACCACGAGTCACCCTCACTCCACCACAGTCAACCTCACTCCACCACAGTCAGCCTCACTCCACCACAGTCAACCTCACTCTACCACAGTCAGCCTCACTCCACCACAGTCAGCCTCACTCCACCACCACTAGTCAGCCTCACTCCACCACAGTCAGCCTCACTCCACCACCACTAGTCAACCTCACTCTACCACAGTCAGCCTCACTCCACCACAGTCAACCTCACTCCACCCCTCGTAGTCAACCTCACTCCACCACAGTCAGCCTCACTCCACCACAGTCAGCCTCACTCCACCACAGTCAACCTCACTCCACCCCTCGTAGTCAACCTCACTCCACCACAGTCAGCCTCACTCCACCACAGTCAGCCTCACTCCACCACAGTCAACCTCACTCCACCCCTCGTAGTCAACCTCACTCCACCACAGTCAACCTCCACAGTCAGCCTCCACCACCACTAGTCAACCTCACTCCACCCGTCGTAGTCAACCTCCGAACCACGTGAGACAGCCCCGCCCCTCCCCCCACGCCTCCCGCTCCCCTCGTGACCCGCAGCTCGCGTGGGGACCATTCTCACCCCGAAGCTGCCCCGGACATGGAGCTCACCCGTCCGTCTTTGTCTCCCCTGCTGCTACTGCTGCTGCTGCTGGCGAGTGGCTGCCTGGTTCTGTGTTCCCCGCCGCCGCCGCTACCCCTTGTCGTGAACACGTGGCCGTTCCGACAGACTGCACGGCGAGGTGAGGAGGACACGGACAGGCAGAGATCACTCCCGTGTCGCCTGGGAAGGCCGGCACGGCGCACGGAGGCGTTGTTGTGGCCAGCACCAAGCCCCCGGCCGCCTTTGTCTCCCCAGTCGCAGCTGAGATGTTCACACCCTCGCACCGGGTACTCGTTTGAGGCTGAGTAGACCTAGGGGAGTCCCAGGACCGGTGCAGATGATCGTCACTGGCGTTAGTGGTCGTGAGTGGAACTCGTGTGGGGCCGGGTTTTGTGTTTTAATTTGTGCAGCGGCGGTGGTGGGCGCGAAACGTCGGGCCCACCGCTCTTCGCAGCCGAGGCCGGTGGAGCCGAGGGCCCCAGCCGGGAGAAGTCGCCCTCTGCCCCGCAGGGGAACCAGGCGAGCAGGGGGGCCGGTGGCCGCGGTCGTGGCGATAGGCCGTGAAAGTGCATTGCGCTGTGCAGTGTGTCACGCACGGGGGTGTTGGTACGTACATCTATGTTGCCGTGTTAGCTCTGCTGCGTTAGCGTGGAGTGTTGGTACGTACATCTATGTTGACGTGTTAGCTCTGCACCTCTGCTGCGTTAGCGTGGAGTGTTAGTACCCCTGTGTGTCGGCACGTGTGTGTGTATGTACGTTTAACTTCTTTCGCACAGTACGTAACAGCCGTGTGTGTTAGTGGAGTGTTAGTACAGAGTGCTGGTACCTATGTGTGTGTCAGCGTGTGGTGTGTCAGTGCCCCCCCGTGTGTGAGTGAAGTGTTAGTACTGTAACCATGTGTGTTAGTGTAGCGTGTTCGTACTCTGCGTGTCAGTCTAGAGCGGTGTTCTTCACTCATTCTCAGAGGGGGTGCCACTTCCCCCAGTACGACATCACCAGTGTCGTGGGGGCCGCCACACATTTGAAACCATTGTGAGTTTGACAGCAGCACGATGTTGATGATGATGGGTGGTGCAGCGGTTAGCGCGCTACGCTACGAGCCCGGCGACCCGAGTTCGATTCCCGCTCACGGCCAACACCGTTGACGATTATCTGAACTGATCGTGGACTTCCCCTAGGTCGACTCAGCCTCAAACGAGTGCCTGATGCGATCTGTAAACATCGCCACTGGGGAGACAAAGGCGGCCGGGCGTGGAGTTGGCCACCCAACCCCCTCGAATGCCGTACCGGCCTTCATAGGTGCTGCTCGCTAACAGTCTGTTAAGGCTACACGGGGTGTGTGTGTGTGTGTGGCAGCGTGGAGTGAGCTGAAGGCAGGTGGATCTGCAGTGGACGCCGTGGAGGCCGGCTGCCTCCAGTGCCAGCTGGACCGCTGCGACGGCTCCGTGGGATACGGGGGCAGCCCTGACGAGCGGGGGGAGACCACTCTGGACGCTATGATCATGAACGGGTGAGATTGATAGGCAGAGGTGCCACGATGACGAGATGGTAACTATATTCTTAGGTTTTTTCGGTAAAGTCACATAGGTAAAAAAATTAATGAAAGTGATTTTTATTTTAATTTTATTTTACTTTTATTCATTTAATTTTTTTACCTACGTGACTTTACCGAAAAGACCTAAGAATATGAATCCTTGCAGTCACGAAAGCGTCAAATCTAGAGATAGTAACTACCTCGACTGGTATACAGGAGTTCGTGGGTTCCATCCCAACCCTTGATGCCTGCTGTATATTTGGAGCTTGCGTGTCTCTCTTCCCCGTGGTCACGTGGATTTTTCTCCTGTGTTTTTCCCACCACATTTGGAATCGACATCACACGTTTAGAGTATTTGACTGCTATAAATGTCCACGTGATTAAGCCACTTCGTTGAGCTATCATTTGTGGCCAGGTCGCTTCTGAAAAAGAGCTATACAGCTCAGTGGGCCTTACCTGGTAAAATAAAATATAGTTTAGTTTTTTATAGATAGGCAGGAGGTCGTTCAGTAGGGATAGGTAACCCATTTCTTCAGACACACCCGAATTGAGCCAGCGCGGGTCCCTCCTGGTACGGGTGGCTTTCCACTGCATATTTGCCTACCCAAGCCAGAACCAAACCGTGAAACTTTGGTCCCGACAAGACATCTGAATTTGGCCACGGGCGGCAAAATGGCGCCACCGCATCATCTACATGCGTCTTCACTTGTTCATTGCCCGTGGCATCAGTCAGGAAGGACTCTGAGGACACGGCCTCACCATGCCATCCACACGTGTCAGTCACAACCGGGTTCAGTGCGTGTGACGTCCACGGCACCGCTCGGCTTCTGCAGTTGAAACAACCTGGCACACCCCCCCCCCCCCCCCAGTCGCACCGAGATGGCTCAGTACAGCCCCAGCATAGCTCGGTTGTGCAGTGGAAAAGAGGGAGATAGGAAATTACTTTTAAAATTATTACGTATGTCTGTATGTTAAACTTATTTCGTACTGTACGTAGCCAGCCGTGTTAATCGGAGGTGCGGAGGAAGAACAACGCGGATTGTTTATCCAGGAGAGGCTCATTCAGTCTCATGACGCTTTTTCAGGACGGTCCTGCCAAGCTTTTGCAGTCGGGGGTAATGATTGCAATTGAGTGATTCGCAGGTAATTGTTCAAATTTGGTTCATTTGGACCATGACACCGGCAAACAGGTGCCTACTTTTGTGATTAACGCCACAGGATCTGTAACGTCCACTGTATTTTTACAGTTTATACACCCGCAGTATTAACCATAGTGGCCGGTCGGAATTCGAACTGTGAACCTCTGCAACAAGCGGATTATAAGATGCTCTGGGAAGTTAAGACGTTCCCCAAAACTCGTGCCCAGTGTCAAAAACCTCTTAAATCCCTTGTGATTTTTGTTGTTGTTGTGAAGTCATTGATGACTGGAAGGAGAACCAACAACTAAACTGTAATCGATGGACGTCTGCATCCCAGATTCGAATCTAGGATCTCACCAATGCTGGCTGAGTATCTCTCTGACAAGGTATTAGCCCCGAGCCAGGAGACGACCTCGAACTTTGTTGTGTTTTGCAGCGATACCTTCGATGTGGGTGCCGTTGCCGACCTGCGTCGAGTGAAGGATGCCATCGGCGTAGCCAGGGCCGTCATGGAGCACAGCGAGCACACTCTGCTGGTGGGGGAATCCGGTAATCATTTTTTTCTTGCGAAACTTGAACTTCATTCTGACATTTTTGTGAGGCTCAACCAGGACACATGGTGAGCTTGGCAGCACCCTCCACCCATCAGCCATGCTCGTTATTTACATAGCCATGCCCACTCAGTCACTTGCCCAGCTATCGTTTGTGGCCAGGTCGCTTCTGAAAAATAAGTTCATTTAAATGCAGTTTAATGGCATTGCCAACTACTGGATGTAATGTGATGATTTAAATTGTACAGAGGTGATTGTGGCTCATGTGACTAAGGCATTGTGTTTGTTGTCTTTATCAGCATCGAAGTTTGCTTTGGAAATGGGCTTTCCTGAAGAAGACCTCAGCACAAACTCATCCAGGGAACTCTACGAGAAGTGGAGGCGAAACTCATGCCAGCCAAACTATCGCAAGGTACATTTTACTTTCATCATTGTAATGTAATCAAGGCTAATGCAACCATTACATACACTCATTGCTCTTACGTTGTGGAGGCTAGAGGTGTGGGCTCGATGGAATCTGATCTGGTTATGAATCAATCCAAACCACGATGTCACGGATCCGATCCGGATTGCTTATGTCGTCATCAATTGGATTTAATTGCAGAATTATGTATTGCTGGATTTTAAGGTTTTGAAGAAGCTCCGGAAAGTATGACGCACCACTAATTCACCAATAAGATTGTACAGACCTGGTCACACACACACAACCCTTCTATATAGTACAAGACCCACCACGATCTCTTGGTTTAAAATAAAGTTGTAAGAAGAGCACCTTGTAATCCATAGCATATAGTCAATAATGTATAACACAATACCGTGTAACCCTGCAGCCACTATACATTCCACTTGTTCTAAAATAAATGTAAAAAAACATTTTTTCATGTAATGATAATGTAACGTTTATGTTGCGAGACTATTTTCACTTGGGATGCTTTGCAATTCCCCTTTGTGCAATGTTTCATATGGCACGCTCCGTGCTCCCAGGTGACCTGCATCGGCCTCAAAAACTCAACGAGAGCGCTGGCAGTCACTCATGCGGTGTCAAGGACACGGCCACACTGTGGGAATTGGGGCTGTCCTACTCGTGGCTGGCTCCCAGTGGTGATTGCCCAGATCACAGTATGGAGGGGGGGGGGGATTGTGTGGTCTGCCCGCACACAATATTGCATGAAATTTGCATGTGCGTGCACATGCCCCATGACCTCAGGCAGTGCGTGAACTAATGCTCATGCGAATGGATGGATGAATGAATCGCCGCCAAGCCAGTGTGCGGTCAGGCCTCTACTCCCTCGAGACGCAAGCCTTCTGTTTATAGTCACACTGCTGAATATGATTTGCTGCAGTTGCCCTCTGCTGCCCACAGTGTGTTATAGGCTACCGCACAGCTTGTTGTGGGCAGCAGAGGAGATTGCAGCTAAATCCACTGTTGGATCGTACTTCTGTGCCTCCCACATTTCTCCTCTGCTGCCCCCCACAGTCTGGAACTCTCTTTCCCCTGCCGTCTGTGCTGTTGAGTGCCTGCCGTCTGTTCAAGTCCAGGCTCAAGAACTTGCTTTGGTCCTCTGCCAATGGCCGACTGCCTCTTTTTCTGTAACAACTGTGCCCACTGCTTTTGTGCCTATGGTCTGTGCCCATGGTCTCATTTAGACGCTATCCAAATCCCCATTGCATTGTACTGACTTTGATTTCGATTACTGCATTTTATAGACCGTGTTTCAATTGCAGAATGTAACACCGGACCCAGACAAGTCTTGTGGCCCCTACAAACCAATCACCTCTTCTACGCAGACCTGGTCAAGTCCCATCGGCATTGACAATCACGACACGATTGGTAAGACAATGTTTGAATTGCAATGTGTGATGCAGACACCGCTGTGTCCGGTTGCGATATTTCAATAGGCACTGTTAATTCCTCCTGGACAATCCTGTGATGGTGAGAGGGCTCAAACGTTCCCTCCTCTGTTTTCCGAATTACAATCTGAGCCACAATGCCCAGCGATGGAATAAACTGATGTTCGTCCTGTAGTTAAGAGTACGTCCAGAGCACAATTAGTCGGTTGAGTGTTGAGTCGGGAGAAAATTATAATCACACGCAATTCGATACCCTCTTTGGCACGTTCTCCCCTTTGGCTGCCACTCTATTGTGACGTCTGCGGCCCAAGCCTGCGAGATGTTAACTCCCTCGCCGAGTATACAGGAGGTCGTGGATGCGATTCCATCCCTGACGCCTGCTGTATATTTGGAGTTTGTCTCTCTCCCCTCGTGGTCGCGTGGATTTTTCTCTGGGTCTTCCGGTTTTTCCCTCCACAATTAGAAACATGCGTTGAGAGTATTTGGCTGCTATAAATTTCCACATGATGAAACACTTTGTTGCGCAATCAATTGTGGCCAGGTCGCTTTTAAATAAAAAAAAAACAGTTTTTCAATATACTTTTCATTTTCGAAGGCGTCGTGGTGATCGACTCGCAGGGCCGAGTATCTGCGGGGACCTCCACCAACGGGGCAACTCACAAGATCCCTGGGTGAGTTTAGATGCAGTTGCTCTCTCCTCAATTGATGATTATAATAAAAACGGAGCGATTTCCTGCTATGACAATTGAGGCAGTGCTCATCTCCCGTTTACAAGGCCCGAGGTGGAAATTCCTCGTTCCTATGGCAGGTGTGAATTTACGCAAAGGAAAAACACCTGACCTCGTTACTTTCAAAGGGAAATGACGACTCGGAGGCGTGAGGAAACACAGACGAGTGGCAAAGGCAGCCGGGCGGTGAACCTTCGCCGAATTCCCCCCCGCCCACCAAGCTGTACGGCCAATTGATGAGCATTTACTTGCGAGAGGATACCAGAGCACCGAGAGAAAACCGACACATGCAAGAGGGGAGTGCTCTGTCGCATACAGATCGAACGGATGTAGCCCACATTTTTGCTGCACCACCTTCTCCAGACATGCCAGGGTACGTGTGGCACCTCGATGCGCTTGGTTAGGGAGTTTCACAACATTTGTGCGAGCCACCAACCCTCGCCTCCACACTGCTGGATTACAGCCGGGCGTAGCCACCACCGCTCGGCTGTGGTACTTATTTTATAAGGATTTTGAACTCGCGACATTACGGTTGTGAATTACTGTAGCACAAAAATGTTCATAATAATACCAATTTACAGCCCTTTGTGTCTGCGCGGGTTATTTTTTTGTTTGGTTTGCATGCTCTCGTGTTCCAGCCGCGTTGGGGATTCTCCTATACCTGGGGCCGGCGCCTACGCAGCAGGGAGCGTGGGAGGGGCATCGGCCACGGGCGACGGTGACGTCATGATGAGGTTCCTGCCAAGGTGCGTCTGCTGCTACTGTCGCCAGACAAGGCTTGATTATTGCAACTCGCCACAATAGTGGGACGTCTGGCAAAAAAACACTACGAAGCTGCGGCGTGTATAACATTCTCTGGCACGTGCCGTGACGGGTACTGCAAGATCCGACCGTGTCTGGCCAGTGCTCGCCGAGCTGCACTGGCTTCTGGTTTCCAAAGGAATACGGAATAAAGTCGCGCTCATTACTCACAAAGTGCTGGCCACAAACGAACCACAATACCTCGCTGATCTCTCCCCACCCCCCCCCCCCCGGGAGTCGATAAAACAAGTACTACAAGTTAACAGTAGTTGTCCTATGGATAGACTCTCCCCTGGAATGAGGAATTTCCACCACTGACTCAGGGCTGTAAATATGAGATGTGCACTGCCTCTGCTCAGTAGAGCAGGAAATCAACGTTTATTATTGCCTATTAAAATAATTTTTTTACAACAACCCGATCAACTGTGCCTGGAAAAGCCTTAACCCAGAGGCATTTCTGGGAAATACTCGGCAATTGTTACTCCTTCTTGGTTCTTTCGGTAAAGTCACGTAGAAGGGAAATAATAAAATAATAAAAATAAAACATAAATAATTCTCACGACGTTTTCGGCCACATCGCAAGCAGCCGTCCTCAGGTGAAGAACAGGTCTGTCGGAAAGACAGCGTCATTCAGACGCTGTCTTTCCGTCGTGAGAATTATTTTATTATGTTTTATTTTTATTATTTTATTATTTCCCTTCTACGTGACTTTACCGAAAGAACCAAGAAGATGAATCCCTGCAGTCACGAAATCTTTAAGTCGAAATTGTTACTCCGTTACCAACAAAAGCCACCCTGAATCCTAAGAGGTTGTTCAGAGGGTCCGCACTGGGGATGTGTGGCCAACACCAAGACGTTGCCATGCTTTTGGCAATGGGAAGAACCCAGAGAGCTCGAAGGGAACCCCACGCAGAACAGGGGAAGGGCACACAAACTCCACACGGAAAGGCACCCGGGTCAGGAATCGAACCCCCAGGTACCTTGCTGTGAGGCACAATTATTTCCATTGCGTGACTCTGACACCCATAACTGGAGTACCTCGAGACGATGTCCAATTGGTGTCTCAGTTATCAGGCAGTGGAGAGCATGAGGAGGGGCATGGACCCCACGCTTGCTTGCGAAGACGCCATCCGGAGGATCAAGAAGTTTTTTCCAAGCTTCTTTGGAGCCATTATCTGTGCCAACATCACTGGAGGCTTTGGTAAGTGTTGTGTGCCTTTTGTTGTTGTGCTGTCCGTGTTTATGGGGTGTGGTAGCGCTAGTTATTGTGCCGAGCTACGAATCCGGCTACCTGGATTCAATCCCTGGCCACGGCTAGCATCGGTGGCGAGTCTTATCAGAACTGGTCCAGGACCTCTCCCATATACATTCAGCCTCATGCAAGGGATGCCCAGAGCCGCCTTTAGCAGAGGCTCTTCCGCCAGCAGTGGAGTAAGCAGAAGGCGCAAGCGGTTCAGCATAAATTGTATTTAGAGCGGTGTAGCACCATTATTGTTAAAGACATTGTGCTCACTGTAGAGACCGTAGCGACACGACCGCACTCTATGATAGCTGGTGCCAATCCGTGCCACACGCCCTCCCGCATGGCTTGTGGGAGCCTCAGTACTGATAAAGTTATTTCATTTTTCTTTGGGTTCCGTTTCGATAACATACGCGTACATCATTGTAATGGAAAAGGGTTAATATATAGAGGACTGCAGAGCTTGGAGGGGAATTTGGCACCAGCTCACCACGTGGCTGCTGCCTGCCCACTTATCTGTGGTTCCTCCTCGCGCCACTGAGTCGTTCACTCCCTTCGAGAGTAAGCAACCGTTTAGTATGTTACAAGTTGAAATTATTACACAATGTCCTGTGCTTTAATTCACTGTTCTCTGTCCTGCTTGCAGGGGCAGCATGCAACCGGGCTCCCGGTCTTGACCAGTTCCACTACACGGTCTTCAACTCTGCCGTGGGCCAGGCTACAGACTATACCGCCAATTGTTTATAAACCTAGATGATGGAGCGTTTTACACGCTTTTAAAAGGCTTCGCAGAGGTGGTTGGGGGAACCGGGAGACTGATACCATGCTAGACCCGTGACACACTTGAGATCTTGGGTGGAACCTGGATTCAGGCCACGAGTGATTGTGAGGGTACGTGCGATGGAGGAAGACCAGGTTATGCGGGTTTTACATTCTGGAGGATTATGAGTTTATGGTCTCGGCGTGGTGTGCATTGACCACACACAAAATACAAAAAAACACATGGGGTGTTTCACTTAATTTGGCTGATTCCAACTTTTAGAATTAAATATATCAGTTTTATTATTGTGCGATGAACAAACAATTGTTACGATCTTTCCAGCTCATAAAAGATGTGTGCCCTAGTGGAGTAGTTCTCAGCCTCCTGGTATGGCAGCGCCCCAATCAAGACCACTGGTCCCCGTGCCAACCTGCTGATTGGCCAAAAGACATCAAAGGTTACCAACAATGCGGTGTTGGAGATTATTTCATGTCGTGTGCTTTGTTGCGCAAAGTGGCGCTTGCATTCCTCGTACACATGACATTTTCCCTGCACATTGTCCATGTCACAGGTTCACCTTAACCCCCCCCCCCACCCTCTTTAAACTTCCATGGGGCGTCACCGATAGGTTGAGAACCGCTGCTCTAGTTTAAAGATGTCCTGTTGAAGGAGCTTCAGAAGTTGTTCTGTGATCTCATCCTCTGGGCTATTCTTTCATGTGGTGCAATGCAATCTACGGTTTGGAATGGAAATGTTTGTCTCATGATATGACACTGATAGCACAATTGTAATTGGTTAAAAAAAAAACTTAGATTTTACAAAATGTTTACAATTAGTTTTTCATCCATAAATCGAGTTTAATTCAATCTTACGAATTAATTTTTCAAGGCAATGATTAACGAAGAGCCTGAATCGATGGATGGCCATTTGTGTCCATAGTTTGAGGTTTTCTGTGAATTCTCATGGATCTATACATTCCAGAATCGTTGATCAGTCTGTGACACAAGTAATCTTAAGCAGCAGGATCATGAATTCCAAACTTTTTTTTTAATTATTAAAAGATATACATACATATAAGGATGTACATAAATGGATATAAAGCAGGCAACCACAACATTTCCAAGAAAGACTGCTATGGGAAACGGCAATTGATCAAATACCTCGTAGCGTACACTTACTCATTTAGTTTAACTCGTAGGCTTTAACACCGACTCGCTTACATTTTTAATACTGTTGAGATAAAAGTATTCTAGCTAGGTGGTGCGTTGTGGGACCAAATCGAGTTTAAACCACTTAGGAATGGCCATTGCAGTAACATAGAAATGTCATCGTCAGATTTGTCTAGAGTCGAGGAGGGGAATAACAATTTGCAATCAACACGGATGTTGGGAAATTGCATCTTGGTTCTGACACTGCAGGTCGTTTGTTTCTTAAAGGTTAACTGTCGTTTAAATTAGATTTAACATGCAATTAATTCCTGGGTTAGGCTACGCAATTATGGGACCGAATCTGTGTTGTAAGGCCCTCCGGCACACAACAGAGGCACACATTAAAATGTCACTTGCACAGGCATTTAATGTGCACATTGTTTCAGCTCACCGTTATGTTAAAAGAGCAATTCTCACGAGCACATTTAGCAATTAGATACGTGATGTTTCGCTGCAAACTAAACCAAGAATGTTCGTCAGAATAATCAGGAAGTCGAAATAAAATCCAGCAAGTCAGAAGAAAACATCGTGTCAACATGAAACTATCACAATTAAACATTCTGAAGTTTGTTAAATGATTGTAAACATTTCATTTGTTTGGCTATGTCGGGTGGTAGAAGGTCTTACAATACATTTGGCCTCACCCAAACATCAACTATGAATTATAGTTGCTGCAAAAACATAGGCGTTAAGGTTTATTGTAAATTGCCAAATACCACTCCTTATGTTCATGTTGTGATATAAACTATTCCGGTGGGTTTTATGGTGGTGTTGATGGGGATGATTGTTCATAGTGTTATGACATAAATTGTGATCTCAAAGTTTTATGAGCAGAGGCAATTATGGACATGTGTTCTTTCTAACTCTGTAATGTCCAGTGAGACTTTTTGCAAGGGATATCTGGGAAGAATGCATAGGGAAATGACTGCACAGGTTGTGTGTAAAAAAAAATACTGTACAAGAAACGACAAAGGTCAATGCGCCCAGCTTATATATATGCTCCAAGCTCGTGTGCTGTTTCATTCAGACTCTGTCGCCTCGACGGACCTGGTTTTCACCTGAGGACGGCTGCTTGCGTTGTGGCCGAAACGTCGTGAGAATTGTTTTATTATGTTTTATTTTTATTATTTTATTACTTCCCTTCTACGTGACTTTACCGAAAGAACCAAGAAGATGAATCCCTGCAGTCACGAAAGCTTTAAATCGAGGTTTTGTATGTCCAGGTCCATGTGCTGAAAACCGAACACAATATGAAGATACTGTCATTGTACACGCAAACTGTGCAAAAAGAAAGTGCTGTAAATGATTATGAATAATTTAAAATGAATTATACCTTTAACTTTTGTGGCTGCTTGTTTTATACATTGTAATGCTTTCCAACTAAGGTTGCCCAACACTTGTGAGGCACAGACCAGGGGAATGATTCCACGACTCCACGTGGGGGGGGGGGGGGGGGGTTATACCCCGGGTTCATGTCTGCGATTTTAACTCCACTTATTAACGGAGTAAAAAATAAACTACTGGATAACCCCGTGGGTAATAGGATCGATTTGCCGTGGGGAGATATTTTGCGCAAGAAAATTGCAGATTACAGAATGCCGTTCTGTAATAAGTCATGGTGAAAGTCACGGACAATTTGCAAGGAATATGGCTCGGCGAATGGCAATAACTCATGTCAATAAATGTTAATAAATTACGGGGAAAGTCACGGACAAGTGCATTGAATACGGCTCAGCGAATCGTAATAACTTTTGTCAATAATGGCAATAACTCATGTCAATAACTCATGGCAATAATTGATGGGGAAAGTCACGGACAAGTTAATTGACTACGGCTCAGCGAATGGCCCTGAACAGCAGTCCTAGTATTGTTGTTGTGCTGCTGCCGCCGTGAACGACGCGTTTGCACACACAGCCACCCGTCACCTTCCGTAAACAAACATATATAATATGCCGTAGCAACAGTAAACAATAATCAACAATAACAACAATGAGAGCATGGGAAACAAGCGACGTTGGGAGAAGTCGTTGGGGCCCAGGCCCTCCGCCTTGAGAGGCGCCGTTACTGTGGGGAGCTGTCATTGGTGGGGTTCTAACCGATTCCAAGTGTCACGATTAAGGTACACATCCGATTCGCACGTCGATTCCCTCCCACCTCTTCCAAGCTACAATATGGAATCAATACCGGAATCGAAATCAACGGTTCGCACACCCCCCAAAGCACGATTCTACACACGAACGCGAGCTCAGGAGTCGATTCCGACTTACAACGAATCGCCGAATCGGTGCATCAAGAAGAACCAGTGACGTGTAGAGTTCACCGCGGACTCAATCAGCGCCGTGTGTGTCGCTGTGGCGGCGTGGGCTGAAGCCGCCCTCTGCCTCTCGCTCTCCCCGCCCGAGTGCTGCCGCAGAGCGCGAATGGCGACGTCGAGCCGAGGCCTCGGACGAGCTCCACGGCCCGCTTGAGTCACAGGCGTACAGCCACAGGCGACGAGAAACTCATCTCGCCGACGGGAGGCACCCTCTTCTGTGCGCTGGACGGATACGCTCAGCCGTACCGCGTTCTTGTTGTCGTTCAGTGGCGGGAGTGTAAACAATAAGCACATCGATGTTTACAGCGCCCGCACGCTGAAGAGCCGTGCGCACAGCGCGGCGGCGGCGGCTGTGGGCGCGGCACGAACAGCGTGCTGCCTGGAGAGGGACGAGCGGGCGGGGGGCGGGGGGAGGCGGTAAAGCAGCAAATGACCGCGGACTCCGGGATCGCGTTTCTCCCTCTCGGTAAGCGGGAGGGATGGGGGGGAGGGGGTGGAATAGGGCGGGGGGGGTAATGGGGGGATCGAGGGGGGGGTCAGGAGGGGGAGGGGGATGGTGGGGGGGGCGGGGGGGTAATGGGGGATCAGGGGGGGGGTCAGGAGGTAGGGGGGTCAGGAGTGGGGGACGGAGATTGGGGGGGGGGGGTATGGGGATCAGGGAGGGGAGTGGGGGAGTGGGGGGGGTAAAGGAGGGCGGGGTAGGGGGGGGGGTCAGGAGGTGGGGGGGGGAGGAGATTGGGGGGGGGGGTAATGGGGGATCAGGGGGAGGGGATTGGGGGGTAATGGGGGGGATCAGGAGGGGGGGAGGGATTTGGGGGATCAGGGGGGGGGTCGTTCAGGGGTTCAGGGTTGAGGCCCCCTGACGTTCCCATCCATCGCCCCGTGTTACTGTGACTGCCACTCGACACGATTGACAGCGACTTTGCCATCACCATGAGTCGTGCCGTCAACTTCGTCAACATCATCGTCACCGGTGGCATCTTCATGTGGAGCATCACCTGTGCCAACATAACACATCAGCAGTAACGTCTCCTGTACCATTGTTGTCATCAGCATTGGCTGTACCATCAACAACATCATCATCATCACCGTGATCATCATCAAAACCATCATCAACAGAAACAATCTCCTGTACCTGCAAGAGATACATGTGCAATGCCATTGTTGACATTTACAATATCATCATCAACGCCATCATAATCATCATCATTGCCATTGTCATCTCCATGGTTAGCATCAACACAAACATCATCGTCACCACCATCACAGCAACAGTCCCACCATCATCACGATAGCAACATGAACATCTCCCAACACCTCACATTGTTGATCAACAGCAACATCTCCCAACACCTCTGTTTACACAGCAGTACCTCACACCTGCCATGTTTACGTAACTTAGTTGCTAAATGTGCTCAGATCAGTCGAAAACATAATCTGCCCGAGCGAATTTCTAATTTAATGTTGATTATTTGGGCGGTGTTTTCTATTTTTCACGTGACACTTGCTTTTGCCCTAATTTATATTTGTTTTGCTTTCATCATTTTGCTAACTCGGGTCACTATTCCACTTGTGTGTCCTGTACGTTGAACTTCTTTCGCACCGTACGCAGCCACCCGTGCTAATCGGAGGTGCGGGGGAAGGGCAACCAACTAGAGACGCGGCAAGAGAGAGGCTGCTCCGGTCTCTTGAGGTCTCGGCTGGTGATACACAAACAACACGACACGTTTAGGCACCATTATTAACACCTCCACCATCACCTCCACCATCACCAACACCATCAATGTCACGAACGGCATTATCAGCAATATCAGTAGCATGAGCACCATCATGGGCAAACACCACCGCCATCAACTACACCATTACCACCATTATCATTATCAAGAACGGCCCCATCACTACCATCATGAACATCAGTACAGTACTAACACCACCATCATCATCACAATCACCACCACAATCACCACATCAGTATCACCCATCACCTGCACCTTTACGGCTGTGCTTTGCCATGATGTTATTGTTGCTTTACATCGTTTGAATTGATGACAGGAATGTACCAATGAAATCAGAGTTGATCAATGTGTTACTGTTTTACCCTATGATTGGTTTACCATGGTGAATCATTTATCGTCAACTTATTAATCTGTTATCTCTCACTTCCATCACTGAAGAAGTTGGTGAGAGCAGAGAGGGTCTGTAACATCATCACCTGCGGGAACACAACATCAACCTTTGCTTTTATGCCACCAATCTGAAGATCCCTGGTGGTGTGGAAGCTTCCCCATCTGGTGGCACAACACTGACATCACAAGTGCACTCTAATTAACCATCGTTAATTTAACTTTTTACTTTTACCAGGTAATGCCCACTGAGCGACTTAGCCACAAATGAAAGCTCAACAAAGTGGCTTATCTTCACGTGGAAATGTTTATATTCTTTGGTGATATCGCATTGGCAGTGGTGCTCAAGCGCAACATTCGTTATTGACAATTGTTTCGTTTTTTTTACTTAAATAGCTTAACACATATTTCTCCAGTCAACAAAATTGATAATTGAATGTGTTGATTAGGCCACGGAATGATTTTGGAAAAAATCTGTAATTAAGACCCTCCACCAACTAACAACAGCCACACAAATTGAAGAAAAATGTTCTCAACAAAATATAGCAATTAGATGTGCAAGGTTTCGCTTGCAACTGCGTCAAGCATAATCAGGACAAGAACTAGGAAATCTGGAATAAAATCTAGGAAGTTGGAATAACCGTGTCACCTGACCCAGCATCTTAAATATGTGTGATGGTTGTTCCTGTGAAGCCAATCAGATTAACTAAATATTAAACGTAATTTAATTGTTTCTCTCCTTCAAAACGTTGATTCCTTAGATGCGTTTAAGTCTGGTCTGAAGACTCGCTGTTTTTCCTGTGCATTCAAGCGACACCTCATTCCTTGCACTTTTGTCCCTTTGTACTTTTTTTCTTCTTCTATTCATGGTCTTGTTTTTACCATGACTGTAATTTTAGTTTGAAGCAAAGTTTTTGCGATGCATCTTGAGTCGCGGTGGCATTTTGACGCTTTCTAAGTTGAAATTGTATATACCTGCCGATCAAACAAGTAATGTGTCTGTGTTGCGCGTGTGTGTGTTTTGTCTGTCTGCAGCTGTGTCATTGCTAGGGCAGCTATGAGCCATGGGCTACGAGGTGACTCGGTTTGAAGGAGGAGTGGATGAGGAGCTCATCTGCCCCATCTGCAGTGGTGTCCTTGAAGAACCTCTGCAGGTAAATCGAGTTGGAGATGACCTTCGTAAACAGGTCAACAGGGAATGTGGTGGCCAGGTAGCTCGGAGGTGGAGAGCGTTGAGCTGGAACCGCTGAGATACCTGGGTTCCCATCAGTTCTTGTGATCAAACTGGATTCTCTACTTTTGTGAGTTAGCCGTCTCAGTCCATTTACCAATAACTACTTTACCAAAAATGTGTATGCAATAAATTTGTATTGTATTTCTTTCTCCGCTTAATTTAGGTATTTCTAGCCCTGGGAATTAAAGACGTTTTTTTGACTATCATGTGACGAACATCACTCTCTGTAGCAGAGCAGGCGAGAAATTGCTTCCTTCTACTAAGTGGATGAGAGACCACCTGAAAGGATGTCAGAAGTAGTTCTGTTGTATCCACTTCTATTGGCTGTTCTTTGACATAGCGTTCCGAAAGCATTCTCCGTCTCAATACATAATACTGATATCACTAACATTTGGGGCTATAGGCCGACATTTGCCAATAACATTAACCGGGTTAGTACCTGCTCCACGAGCATGTTTTGTGATAGGGATGAGTAGGTGGTGAGAATGTAGCAACAGTAGGGGAGGTTGTGTAATTTGGTAGTTATTTGGCATGAAGTTAGCAATTGACTCGTCAATTAACCCTTTCCCGTTCCGATGTACGTATGTGTACGTCATCAGTGTGTCTTCCGATTCTGTTCCACTGACGTGCGTTTACGTCATCGGAACGAAACTGGAAGAAAAAGTAAAATAAATAACTTTGTCGGTACCGTTCCTCCTACAAGGCCATTCGGGAGGGCGTGCGGCAGAGTTTGGCACCAGCTATCGTAGAGTGCGGTCGTGTATTTACGATTCTCTGCGGTGAGTACAATGTCTTTAAAAACAACGGCACTACATCACCTCTCTAAATAAAATTAACGCTGAACCGCTTGCAATTTGCAGACATCTCGGAATGGGAAAGAGTTAAAATACCCATATACTTTGGTTCTTTCGGTAAAGTCGCATAGATAGAAAAAATAAAGGCAATAAAAAACAAAAACCACGACGTTTCGATCGCGACACAAGCGGTCATCATCAGTAAAAGGGGGGTTAGCCTCTCAAGGCAAACTGTTTTTAAAGGTTTAGAGATGGGCGTAGCCCAAGTGTGTCAGCAGCATGGGCAGGGCAGCTGATGTTAATGTAGGAGAAAACAACTAAGCCGGCAGTGGGTCTCCACCAAATCATTGCACCTCGCTCCACACACCCACACTGCTGACAGGTGGAGGTTGACAAGAAAACACAAGTCAAGTCATGACCCAAAGTGGTTGATACTGACGCCTACCTGATTCCCACCACCATCCCAGAAGAATTCCCTCATCAAAACGCTACACCATAGAGCTCAATGTATCTCCGACCATGAACACCTGACCAGTGAACTCAAACACGTACACCAAGCTCTCAAGGCGAATGGATATTCTGACTACAGAATCTGCAAAGCCATCAGTTTTGTTTGGATCACATGATCATTCACATTATTTGTTTTTAACCTTGTTCATTATAAATCTTTATTTTTACCCAGGAAATGCTCAATGAGGGTTAAGACTTTTTTTCCTAGAGGGTCATGCTAAGTTTTAACAACAGGAGGAGACAATGTGGCTATGCGTTTCCACATAGAGTAATTTTGTGGCGATTTAAAACATTTGGTCAACCTGGACTGTGAAGCCGACACACAAGGCCGTAGTACTTTTGGAATAACGCCTTGGGATCTCCGACGTCTACAGTCAAGCCGGTATGGTTAACCACAATATTAACGAGGGCGGCCGAGCGGCTTGAACCACGGATCAGTCACGTTTCTTATGTTTCTTCACCTAATTTTAGGGGTTGAACAGGTGGGGCGGTGGACGTGGGGAGCAGGGCAGAGGGGATGAAGGTCGGGTCGCTCTCTGGGCTCAATGTCACCTTTTAATTTGACTTCAAAGCCACGTCTGAAACGTGTTTGAAAGCGAGAGGCGTTTGTTTCTTGGCTTGCATGTTCTTTGAAGGCAAGGTCTGCAATGTTCCAACCTCTGGCAGTGTGCTACTGCGCCAGATGGCTCACAGTGCCTGCGTCTTGCTCTTTTAATACATTTTGCTACGTTCTCCCGATTGCAATGCTACTATCTGCGTCGTGGCATGAGACACGCGCCCGTTCACAACTCTTTTATCAACCAGTATCGGAGAACAGCCCACGAAGATGCGGCAGCAGGGCTACGTCCAAATTCACCTCAATGGGCCTCGTTATTCCAACTCCGCAGCAGGCGTTTGCTGCATGCCAATCGGACAGAAATCCTCCACAATAATGGGCGCGAAATGCCTACGTCTTAAACAGAAAACTCCCAATTGTCGGAGCTCAAAGAGACTGAATTAATGTCGAAAACCCAGTTTTGTGTGTTCACTTACAAGTCCCCTTTGCAGTCCACTGCTGGATTAGGGCGTGTCCACACCACGTGGGGGTCTATCAGACCAGACTTCACCACGCATAATAAACGTTTTTGGGTTAGATCGCGTTTATTATTAATGATATTGGTTGCGAAAGCCTACGTGTTAAACATACTTCACCACGCTGGCCAGTGTGGGCTTGTGAAGGCAGGGAGCAAATATGTGGGAGTATGGTAACAGTACAACAATTAATGTTTGCTGCACGGCACTCTGCTGACAACAGTAGCCTATAACACCTGTTATGCATGGCAGTCACCAATTAAGCATTATCCAGGCTTAACCTTCTTTATCCTCCAGGGTGCAAATGATAAAATTGTCTCATTGGGTAGAGCCACAGAGCAACATCGTTCCCTACTGGGAAACTACTGCTGACTGTAATCATCTGTGAAACAATAGTGCCTTTGTGATAGCCTCACTCTTTAAGAATGGCGGAAATGCCAGATGTACTGAGGATAATGATCTGGCGAGATGGTGCGCATTCCGGGCGATTTGTGAATTGGATGGGCTAATAATCATATGTTGGTTTCCATCGTGTCATTCGTGCAAATATCGTGAAATGCTGGAGAGTTTGTAATGAGCACAGATTTCGCATCGGGGCGAGGGAGGTCACAGACATGGGGGAAGGCAGCCAGAAGTGATGTCAGCAGTTGCCAGGGCTTTGTGGTCCTTTATTTGAATGTTTGGCCAACAGTTTTAATGGGTTTGTGTGCATGTGGGAGCAAATCAGAATACAGGGAGAAAGCCCCGGCGTGCGAGGGGGATAACACACGATCCCTGTACGGACGGAAACGAGTCCACTTGCTGTACTGCCATCACACCCTGGCAAGCCAGGAGGTGGCAACGTCAGCTCTCGCGGGTAGAGAGGGAGTTTCGTGAATGTGGGCACTGCACATGCTGTGTCGCGATATTGCGCGGATCGCTACGAACCCATCAACCTAAGTTATTCCACTTGGAGCCAACATCAGTTACAAATATATGAACCAGTCCTGGACCACCCATAGGTCAACTCAGCCTTAAATGAGTATCTGGTGCAGTATGTAAACGTCAGCACTGGGGCGTGGTGCTGGCCACCCATCCCCTCGAGCGCCACCACCAATTAGCATGGTTGGCTACGTACAGTGCGAAAGAAGTTCAACATACATAATACAGGTGTTTTGGGTTAGATCGCGTAAATATATAAATGTGTCGTTAAACCTGCCACCACCCGACACAGCCATTAGTAAGGTTTATCTTCTTGTTTCTTTCGGTAAAGTCACGTAGAAGGGAAGTAATAAAATAATAAAAATAAAACATAATAAAAACAATTCTCACGACGTTTCGGCTACAACGCAAGCAGCCGTCTTCAGGTGAAGAATGAGACACTACCAAACTAGGAGCTTATATATAAGCTGCATTGGGGGTTGAAGAGCGCCTTAACAAAAAGAATGTGCATGTGAAGAGGGATTTAGCATATTCATGGAAAATGCGTAGGCGTTGGGCGGGGGGGTGTCAAAGTCATATTATGCCCATGCATTATGCAGGATCAGCAGCAACCAAGGGGGGTGCAGGGATTAGCAGTAACAAAGGAAAGGAATGTTAATGATATGTAGCTGCAGTTACTCAACAACCACGTAGAAAACTAAAGTATAAACTACATAAAAACTAAAGTATAAACTGCATCGCACCATCAGTATACTTACTATACTCTATAATAAGCTGAGTTACTAACAGCAAGTAATACATTACAATTTTACCTCGTAAAAATTCTATAATATGCTTCCATCTAAACCTTATTCTCTTACATCACACGAGCATATACCGTACTATATACTGCCATAGATAAACCCAACATTAAATTATATACTGTATTGCTGTAAACCAACCTATATCTTATACATTTAATATCACACTATGTATTATTCTACACACCCTAATGTGTATCGAAATGGTTTATTACGTCCTTCCAATGATTGCTGAGCCAGAATCCATCTTCTCGGTTAAAGTTGTCTCTGTGTTTGTATATGTGGATCGCCTCATGAACGAATCTCTCATGATAGCCAGATGGCTTGCAGAGAACCTCTGTCTTGGAGAAGTCAATATCATGTGAGCCCACTGAGTTGTAACAGTGATCTGCCACGGCTGAGGTGTTAGTCCTACCGTGTTTCAGGTCAGCTTTATGTTCACGGATGCGGTCCGAGACATGTCGTTTGGTTTCCCCAATGTAACTGCTACCACAGAGGCAACTTAGTTTGTAGACGCCAGGGTACTGTATGTCTGGAACCACATCTTTTACAGACGGTACCAGATCACGGATTTTATGTACTGTGTTGAATCGGACCTGGATCTTGTGTTTAATCAGGATTTTGGAGATCTTTTTTGTGACCCCAGCAATGTAGGGTAAGGTGATGGTCTTGAAAGGCTCCTCAACAGGATCCTTCTTGATGGTTGGAGTGATGGCTTTGCGGATTGTATAGTCGGAGTAACCATTTGCCTTAAGAGCTTGGCGTACGTGTTTGAGTTCACTGGAAATGTGTTCATGGTCGGAGATGCATTGGGCTCTATGATA